TTATTTTTTGTTATCATTTTATTAGCAGCATTATCATTATTATACTCAATATTATCATTATTGTTATCATAATAACTACCATAATGATAATGACAGTTATGATAACTATTCAAATCACTGTAGTTATTATCATTATCATTACTGTTATCATTATTATAATTTTATCTATCATTTCATCCTTATTATTACCATTATTATTATTATAATCATCATCATCATTATATTTAGTATCATTACTACTACTATCATTATCATCAACATTGATATGATCGTCATCATCGTTATCATTATCTTTATTATTATTATCATATTATTATTGTCCCTATTATCACTTATAAGAATGTAATTCTAGTTGATATGGAATATGAATTAAGTAGCAAGAAATACAGCATTCATATACCATCAATTATCATTGGCAATGGAATAAACCTAAATTTCACTGTAAACTATTTTCTCTCCTTGCATTTCAACAACAGCAACAAAAAAGGCTTTGGAGTTTCCGTTAACTTTTTACATAACATCAAAATGACGTTTTAAAATCTTGAGTGAAACTTCAGGATTTCAGAAGTTATAAATCTCTATGGTATAACTGAAGCTACACTTTACGTGGGACAATGTTAATGATAGAATAAAAGAAACCATACTAAAAAAAACATTGCTATTAAATATTATACAAAGATGCGCGTAATTACAAGAAAATGATAGAGTACACCAGCCAAGACAGGCAAAAACTCTCGTAGTCGAAAGTTATTCAGTCCTTATATAAAAGACTGGCACAAACTTTTCCTTAACACATATACTTGTAAGATGATAGTCATGAACTTTCATAAGCTCTTCTTTCATCACACACACACACATACACATACATGCGAATGTATGTATATATGTATATATATTCTTTTACACACACACACACACACATATATGTGTGTGTCTGTGTGTGCGTATATTTACATATATATATATATATATATATATATATATATATATATATATATATATATATATATACATATATAACAATCTATATCAATGCGGCATTGCATTATACGATCTTTCATATATATACATACACACACACACAAAAAAAATAGAAATGAAAATAGAAATATTCTTTCACTGGGCACTCCGTCTGGATTCTGAAACGTCTCTTAGGAGCGAGGTTCGAAGAGTTTCCATCATGTGTGTGTGCATAAAATAGTTAATATGCGCTTCATGCCACTGTCAGGGCGTTGAGGCCATCCTCCATGCAGCTCTTAGCTCGAATGGCGATTCCCTTGAAACGACTTCGCAGGCTCGTACTCTGAGTGTCGTCCTCGTGTAAGTCCAGTTTACTAATTTGCTGCGGCAGTGCATCTAACGTGTTGATTACGAACATTTTGTCTGACGGATCCTTGATATCTGCAACTGCCGTGCCTTTGATCTCTTTAATAATACAATGTATGTACTCCTGCGGGGTCTTCATGTTTGGATTCCTCGTTATCTCGTTAATCCTCTCGATGTGCTGGACCGTCTTCTTGATGTACGTGGCAATTTGGGTCGACTGGTTGGCAATGTCTTTTTCTAGCTTGTTGACCATTTCCTCGACGCTCTGCTTGTCCATCCTGGCCCGCTCGTACCTGTCCTTCATCGTAGCGTGAGTGACTCTGATGGTCTCGAGCGTCTCGTTTATTGTTTCACACTCGTGCCTGTGATCTCCGTTTCGACAAGGGCAAAATTCGCAAGTGAGGTTTGCTTTCGGACACATGCAGAAGGCGCTTTTCAACGCAGTGCAGGGGTAGACGCACGTCTGATCGCACGTGGGGCAGTTGTGGGCGTGGGTGAATCTCCCGGCGATCTTGCTTCTCCTTTTGACAGTTATCGTCTCTTCCCCCTCAAAGGCCTCGTTCCTCCTCATGCAGTCGTTGTACTTCTCGTAGAGCTTCTTCTTGCTCTTATTTTCCAGGAGAGTGTGAACCCTGTTGTCTATGTGTTTTTTGAGCATCATCAGTGACCTTTCCAGATTCATCTTCTCGGCTATGACTTCTCTGGTCAGCTTCAGACTCACTGGCTTGGCAATAATCAGGTCTTCAAAAAATACTTCGTATTCGCCGACGAGGTTCTCCCACTTGAGTTTATTAAGGAGCGCCCTCCTCGTTTCTTCGAGGCAGTTGCTGTAGAGGACGCCGTTGTCGAAAGAATACATTTTGTCAGCCTTGATGTTCATTTCCTTTAAGACTTTGCTGACTGGCGGCGCATCGTCAACATGTGTCGCGAGAATCTTCGTTATATCTGTGGTGTCTTTTCCAAATAAATCTTCGAAATCGTGGATGATTCCCCGCAGGTAATCGTGAGACCTGTTGATGGTTCCATTGATCACGAAGCCCAGACAGTGAAGCTCATCAACCTCAAACTTCACCTCGCGAAGGAACATCTCCATCTGCTTCTTGATTCTGGTCTGCTCTTCCTTCCCCCTCGTGTCCGCCAGTCCGGGCGTATCGATGATAAGGAAGTTACACTC